GTGATTATTTTACCTCACCATATTGAAAAGTACAAAAATCACATTCATGATGTTAATATAGGCTAGTTTGTCTAAAACACATATATGTCACTATATCACATCCTATACTACAAATTTCAACAAATAAATGGATGTCAGGTTTGTAGCGTCAGTTCATAAGTTTATTATCTATCTAATTATCTATCACCAATCTATTAATGGTTCTCCAATACAGTTAGTCAATAGAGTCACTTTTCAGGTCAAGAAAAGAGCATGAACACAATATAATATCATTTTTGCTATTAACAATTTTTTCCTCTCAAGCTAAACCATCTGTACGCACAGAGCCCCAAAAACAGCGGAACGAACTTGGCGTGCTCAGCATTGTAGGTGTCCTGTGGATGAACCCTTGCTACTGAGATTCACACTAAACCAGGGGGAGCCTAATCAAATACTGCAATTCCCCACAGTTACCCCAGCACCCCCCTACCCCCACCTTGCTCTACACCCATACACATATATCCACCCAGACCAAACGTGAATATGGTGTGCTAGCTGAATACTAATGCTACACCTATTTACATTTCAAGCCGCACCACTGTCAGCACATCTCATTTCGGGAGGAGAGCGGGGAATTGTCAAGAACACACAGAATCACTCGTAGTTTTATGCCAACCTTTCAACCCATGACACACAGTTAGGATCTCAAGAAAAAACTGTTAATGAAACGCCAGTTAAAAGTGGGGACTGCATTTCATCTTTCATTTTGTTTACAAGTCCCTGTTCACAGCATTTCTCTCCAATGAAAACAATTTTTTTTTTCATTCTGTTGATTTTGTTTGGAGCCCACAGTTAGCAGTAAGGAGCGGCAGAATGGACATACAGCTTTGTCACTTGAAGAAGTGCAAAACCAATACTAGGCAGCCATAAGGCAAGTACTTGATGCTTACTTAACAAGTAGGTGTCTCTCAAGGCTCGACTTGATGTTAGGAATTAGGCCTTGCAATTACCTAGAAGAAGTGAGAAAGACAAATAAAGTCATCTTCACAAACAATAAGATGTGAAAAAAATAATGGGTTGGTAGACATGTTGTGGTAAAAGTAAAGAAGTGAGTTGACATTTTATGCAATATCAGACATGTAAGGGCAGCATGGTGGCGCAGCAGTTATCACTTCAGCCTCACACAAAGAAGGATGGATTAATCTGGACAGCTTAGAGTTTTTCTGTGTGGAGTTTACATGTTTGTTTCTTTAATTGTCAAGGAAGAAGATTTGTTATGGGGAAAGCCCCATAGCTGCCACAGTAAATAAATAATAATTTATAATAATTATTTCATATATTTAAATTATAGCTAAAGACAGTACATCAGCAGTCAGCAGAACACTCAAACTTCTGTTTAAAATAGGACAAATATATTTGTGATTATGTAAAATATGTCATAAATGTATGTAATAAATGCAACTTAATGTATTTTAAATGATAAGAAGCACTAACATCAAAATGCAAAACATTCACATTTACATCATGCAGTGCCATGTTTACCAAAAATCACTGTGTCAGATGGTGTTTTATGGGATGCATCGTATGGATCTATAATAAGGGGAAAAAAAAAAAAAGAGAGAGAGAGAGAGAGAAAGGAATATGTAACATGCAAATAACAAAATATTTCTCAGGGACTGAAGTGCTCATAACTTTTTGGATGCTTGTTTCATCTCATTACAAATTCTGCTTGAGTTTAGCTTAGGTTTTAGATTTTTTCTGTACAGAAGCAGCCTAAAATAGTTTTTATATGAGACTATCAGTGCAAAATGCTGTGATTACAGGAAAATGTATGGGATTTGAGCTTAAATGTTTGAGGGACTGCTGTGCCCCCACCACATTTAAGCAGCACACTGCAAGACTGTTTGTGGCCACATTAGGTCCTTATTTTACGTAAATCACCAGGTTGAGGGTTGCAGTATTGCCTTCTATCATACATCACTTAACATATTTCGCTCCATAACATGCACAGGTTTATTTCAATTCCAGTCTCAAATAGCCCGAATAAGGTTAATGAATATATATTGTTAATAGTAACGTCATTGTGAACATTTTTGGGAAATGGTAAGGTTAAAACATAAAAAAACAATCAACTTAAAAGTGTTAGTTTTTTCCTTTTAGAGGCCATAAAGAATAACTGAATTCTAAATTCAGATTTTTGCATTTATGAAATTACTACTAACCAGTTAAGCCCATTTCAAAAAAGAAGGAAAAAAACAACAACAGGTGAGCGTTTTAAGTTTTTATATGAGACTATCAGTGCAAAAGCAGCCTAAAAATTCTGTGATTACAGGAAAATGTATGTGATTTGAGCTTAAAGGTTTGAGGGACTGCTGTGAGCCCACCTCAGATTGACATTTAAGTGGCACACCGCAGGGCTGTTTGTGGCCGCATTAGGCTCTTATTTTACATAAATCACCAGGTTGAGGGTTGCAGTACTGCCTTCTATCTTTTCCTCACACGCAGTATTTGTTGCTCTACTTATCTAGTGCGTCGCCCCCAGCTACTCATCTGAAAACACCGCTCAGAAAAGGAAAGGAATGAACGTCCAAAGTGGAGGAGGTTGATATGTAAGAACAATCATTGCTCCAGGAGGCAGAGATAAGCCTTTTGAATAGAGAGCATCATTTCTGAAAGTTCTTAACCCCAGCGCCTTTTTTCTCTGTGCGTTTGACAATTCACAACATCAGTGGGATTTTGGCACAAAGAGTTTGCAAAGAGAGTGTCACCGCCAGGTCAGGAGACATCTGAATCCCCCTTCACACTACTGCAGTGCAGACTCAGTAAAACATGCACCCACCTCCACGTGAATACTTATAATCTTCAGCAAAGCTCCACATTTGGTCCTGCAGTGCCATCCTCAGGACACACTGGGAATGACAGTGTTGTAAGCAGAATTCCAATATTAAGCACTTTGGTAATCAGCCAAAACCAAACACTTTGAAGGGACTGCCTAGTGATCTTGTTCTGTACATATCCAATGCATTGTCATGTCATAATATTAGGGGAATGTGAGATAGCATCAACAAATAACTACTACTACTACTACTACTACTACTACTAATAATAATAATAATAATAATAATAATAATAATAATAATAATAATATTAACACTGGACAGGGGTTGAAGATTACTATTTAAAAGTTCCTATGAATCTCATGAACCCCATCGTAGTAGGCAGACACATGTCAATCTGTTTAAATTACAAATCAAGTCATAGTAATTGGTTGTAAGTCTAAAAATGTCTAAAAACATTTAAAACTAAATTTGATTTACATTTAATTATTTACAAATATTCAATTTAAACAGGGTCCATTGAGTTGAAGTTCAAAACTGCTGGCCCTTCTACTGTCTGCAAACCTGCCAAAGTTAACATATGCATTTACTTACTATGCCAAGCTTTATAGATCAGACTATAAAAGAGGCACTATAACATCAAAATTTGCCAATAGGACTTCCAGACTCCAGAAGAGCTTCTACCTTGAATGTTCTCAACCCTTTCCAATCACAAACACAAAACATAAAAAACAAGGCAACCAAAATGATAAAGTAGCCTTTTGTCTAATGTTTAGTTTATTTTAGGTCATAAAATATACTACTTTGGTATCTATTGTACCACTGCATTTGGTATAATGTGCTGTACGTTTAACACTAGACATTTTCTCCATATCATCTGGGAACCCAGTGAAATCATAAAAACTATAGGGTTAGACTACTCATTTCACTAAAAGATAGTTACCGTCTTGCTTGGGATCCTGGGAATATACACTTCTGTAATACTTTACAAAGATATGAGTCTGGTCCCAGTCAGTCTCCCTGTTTTTAGATGGGTGTGATTGACAAGTGGATTAGCCAATCAAGAGCACACATTGTCCATCCATATCAGAACAAATATTGCTGCTTACAGGGAAAAATGAGGGAGTTGTGCAAAATCAATGAACAATGCACTAAAACCACAGTGCAAAACCAACACGTTCAAAAAGTCCCTCATCCCAAATGCAATTAATTTTCTAAATACTTATTTCTAACACTTTGCTGTACATCTGTTATGTTTGTTGTGTATGCCTGTTTTGTGTTAATGCTGTTGCAGACAAATTGCCCCACATGGATAATAAAGAGGCTTTGAAACTTGAAACTTTGTTAATCTGAGGTAAGAGAAATGTAATTTTGTTTGTAAATGACAGATGACCAATGAGTTCCTTTGTTTCACATGCATCACTGAAAAAAATTAATCTGATTTGGTTCAAGGCCTGAGGAGGTATGGGTCAAACCGATCGTTATAAAAAATGCAGACAGGTATCATTCTGGATTTGACTGAAATTTTGCCATCATTAGATTTGAGAGTTTCAATCATTTCCTATATTAGACCATTTTGCTGATGTTTATAATTTTACTTTGTTGGGCATGGGCTGCAGATGTGACATCAGAAGTGGCAGTGAAGCTAACTGGTGGCACTGTTCTTTCAGAAGCTTTGTTAATCAAGTTGCTTTACGTTCAATTTCTCATAGATTCCCATAAATAACAAGATTACAAAAGACTATTTATATTTTTATGGTTCAAGTTTCAAGGAGAAAATTATAGGTTATATTAGGACCTACCCCATTGCTGACACACCTCAATAATGCTTAAGCAATTAAGCAATTAAGCAATAAAGCTTAATGGATTCCCTTCCAAAAACAGGAAGGGCTGTTGCTGAGTGTTTCGGTGTATTTTTATAATGAAGGGAGAAATCAATTCTAAAATGTTCAGAGCCCAACCATATTCTTTCATGGTTGTATGGTTCCCTCTAGTGGTATTAAGAAATTGCTTAACATTAAATTTCTGGCCATTACCAAGGGTTATTGCTGCAACTTGGATTTAAGAGATGTTTTGTCTGAACTCAAAAAGGTGCTTTCATGTTAGAAATTATGCACTTTATATTCAGTCAAATGTTTCCAAAACCAGTTAACTTGAAGACCTTAAGGCCATTGGATTCTGTACCTTCCTGAAATATGTCCAGCGCTGTAGTCTGAAGATCTCCTGAATACCTGAATACAGAATACATGAACATCAGCAACTGCAGCTCAAGAAAGGTGAGCGTCACTGCCTGGGTTACCATAGCAACATACCTGCTGCTTTTCACAAAAGTCCTGAACACAGGGACAAGACACTTGTATCTTAACATTGCATACCCTCAATGCTAAGTGACTGTATGCTAACTTTTAAGGAAAGTAGGGCTGCAATGATTTATCATAATAATCGTGACTAATCAACTATTAAAATACTCACAACTGTATTTTGATATCTGCTGTTGTTATCTGGATAGCAGTAAAACTTTAAACTTTTTATTTTAAACTATGACCCCAGACTAGAGCTACTTTACTGAAAAAATGTGGTGTCCTGCCTTCTGAGTTCAAATAAACATATGCATATCGATTCTGGCAATGTCAAGTCATATCGCCATCTCCATAAATATTTTTTTTCTGATCATGATTACTCACATCAGATTTTTCAGTTTGCATGTCATATAAATAATGCTATTCAGGTCAAGAAATTAGATAATAACAATCGATTTTGGTGTGCATGTAAACAGCCAGTGTTGAGGATGTTGAGGAGTAATTAATCACACATAGTTAGTGACTTGTTAAAAATGTAATATAGGCCTATTGCATTATTTAGCAACTGCCTCAAGAATGAAAGTTGCATTACTTGGGGATTATTTTATTTGTAATAATATAATAGAAATTAATTTAATAAGTGTTTTTATGTTTTATTGAAGAATTAAATGCTGCTTAGCTTACACCTAACAGCAGAAAACAGCATAAGTCATGTCTGAAGGTTTTTCACTAGGCTATTTATTTGAGGTGTCAAGACATGTGCCTGGAGAGGAATGTTGCCCTCCCAAGCACTGATGTTGGTGTTGAAAGTAACTGAGTATTTTAATATTTTTATTTAATTAGACCTACCAATATTTTTACAGTAATCTGATACACTGTTCCTTAAACATAATAACACCATACTCCCTTGTCTGAATGCTGGAGAGAGGCTACATTGCTCATGAACTACTAAACAGAAATTATGAAGGGTTAATCTGTGGAATTTGAGCTGGATGATTAATTTGAATTTGGTTATTTGAATCAATGCTAAACTGCCTGATGCCTTAAATTTTGGACAACAAAAAGCCAATAGATTGATCCGCCTCAGCCTACGTTTTTGCTAATTGCATGTTTATCACTGATCTTACTAGGCTTACCTCACAGTCTGCCTGCTACCTGCATCTGCTGCAGTACTCTGCCAGGTGAAACAGCATGCTTGTTAGCCAAACCGCTTATACCTCGTCTTCAGTATGACATTATTTTATGAAATATACACATGTGTATGTGCTTTTGCCTTCCCTACAATTGCAGTGTTGCGTTCTGATCACGGGGGAGTCCTTTGAATGAATGTTCGCATCCAACCTGAGGGCCTCTTTTTGTTTTCTTAACAGCTATGTTTCAACCGAGCCTGCTAATGGAGGAGGAGGATGATATGATGAAAAATGTTTTGACGAGCACAAGTGTTTTCCAATCAGGCTCATTTCCGTCGTTCAAACCAGCGAATAGGATCCGTGCAGCGACACGGTTCTCCTCTCATGGCTCAGCAGGGGGCGGAGTTTCCGTGCAGGGATCCACCCTCCTCAAGGCCGCGGGGTTTGGTTGCACGCAGGCTGCAGTTTCAGTTTGTTTTATTCACCATTTTGAGTAGCTGAAGGTAAAAAATAAGAAAAATTGGAGAGCAAGTCGCTGTTTTGTTTTCAGCCGCAAGCCCGGACGCTGGAGTAGGACGTCGCCCTCACTCCCCTCGGTGTTTTGCAGAACGGAAATTTATTTGCTTTCTCGTGCTTTTTCTTCTTTCTTACATCCCCAACCTCTACAGTATTCCTGCAAAATGTCAAGACCAGTGAGGTAGGTGTGCTAAACGCGTGCTCCACCGTGCCCGACTAAACAGCGACACAGTGCTGGTAGCCTCATGCTCTGCGTGCACGACTCGATCGTGCTTAAATTGAACCCAGTGAGCGTGTTTATTTCATGAAAAAATAATGCAAGTGTGTGCATGAGCCCTGTCTGATAGCTATTTCTCTAACATGGATCCCAGGCAGCGGTGTGGACTGTTCGCCATGTCTCATGCCCGCCGCTACTCCGTGCCTTCTGTTTTCTCTCCAACGTGAGCTGTTATGTAGGCCAAGCGGAAAATTAGTTGGTGTGAATTTACCCAGCTGCTTTATGTGGCTCGCTAACAGTTCCCTTCACTATGTTTCCCTCTCGCTGAGAATGAGAATATGGCTACCCATTCATCCAGCTCAAAATGCTAATGCTCCAGCCAAAAAAAAGACGAGGAGGTGGCGGTCGGCCCTGGCGTTTGATCTTGTTGCCGCGCAGACTGAGCATGGCAGACTTGTAGCTTATATTACGCTGGTTTGAATGCTTTTGAACGTGTATTTGGGCAAAGCACATCTTAGTAAACGTAGTGTAGTTTGAAAACGCTCCAGCGGGTAACTGGGGCGAGCGGGTGTAGATTTTCACTGCTGGTAATAAATTAGCGTTAGCGGTTGATGTCAGAGGAAGGCGGAGAGCCACGCTAGTGACCACACCCCCCTCGAAAAGCCCCGCTGTGATTCGTACGGGAGGCGTCTGCTGCCTGTAGATACAAATATTAGACAAACTACAGTCTGTGTCCAAATTAATAAGCAAACTTACATGTGGCCATTCAACACGCCTGAGCATCACATGGATACTCAAAATGCTCATGATACTCAAAAGTTGGTCAATAAAGAGCAGTGTTTCTTCTGTAACTTATGTTAGGATGTAACCTTTATTTACTAACTAACATTACTTAAAGGGTTGTGTAACTACATGCTTTTTTCACTAGGGTTGTATGTTCTTTTTTTTGTACTTGCAATATCTAAAAATAAATGTTTTTGTTGTTGCAGGAACAGAAAAGTGGTGAACTACTCACAATTCAATGAGTCTGACGGTGAAGGTAAGGGTCAGGAGATGTGCCATATGTGACAATAAATGTATAAATAAATATAAAAAGGGTAATTAGTATAGTCTTTGTAATTCTGTTTTGTGTGGTTTTAATGCTTTTAACTCAATTTATTTTAGGGGAGACTCCTCAGTCTTTTTGATGAATTGTGTCTATTGAACTGTGTCTATTTCCATAGATGAGGAATATGGCGGTGACAAGCCTAAGAAGGTGCGCTCAGCCCCACGGGAGCCCAAGCACAAGCGCTCAAAGAACTCACAGGAAGAAAGGTGAGACATGAACTCTGATGCACAACACGGGAATGCGACAGTGATTACAAATTAGGGATGTGCAACAAAAATATATAAGTTAAATATATATATATATATATATTATATAATAATATTTTCTTGGGGTGTTTCAATCACATTGTTATTCATGTACAGTTTAGATTTTTTTTTTGCCTTCAAATAAAAAAAAATCCAGGTAAGGTCATTGGCTTCTTCTGAAAGCTGCCACTCACTCAGACCCTTACAGAGCCTAACCAATAGGAGGAGTGGGGGAGGAAGAAGTGTCTGAACAGAGCTCTATTAAGAGACATTGTGATATTGCAATATGACGATATAACCGGAAAAGCAGATTGTCACTGGAAGGAGTTCACAATTCTATTTTTATCGCAATTATCGCCAGCGATCCGGCCACATTACACAACTGAATTTAGAACAATGGAAAGGTTTTTGCTGTTCTGTATTTGTTGTGTAATCAAGGACAAATGATGTGGTAGAACATCCTTTACATTCAGACTGTTGAAAATTGTAGAATATGAGTAAAAATCTGAAAATTAAATGCTGAATTTTCTAAATGTTATTATGGAACTGCAGTGGCAAGGTTTGTTATTGGCATACAAATGCTAAACATTCATCAGCAATTAACAAGAAACAGCCAGGAGTATTTTAGACATTGTAATGAAGCGGACTCGCAAATTTTAGACCTGTGTCACAAATAATGGTCTCTATGCTGCTGTTATAAAAACTATTTTATCTTCTTTTAACTCTATTTCCACAGAATCATGCAGGTGATCACATTATGATGATTGCCACCCCCAGAAAGTTACATGCTAATTGTACCCTTATAGAGGAACTTAGTAGTTGCTTATATATTTTTTAGCCACAATATAGCAACAGCTAAGTTAGCAGCATTTATTAGTTATCAAGTTATGCTAAATTATTTGAATGAGTGTCTTTTTGCCTACACCCTCTTCCATTCTTTTTGGCCACCATGTGAATTGGGTCACAGGTGATCTGCCCGGTTTATGGGCAGTTCAGATTTAAATAAAGTGTGCATGTTATTCACCAGTGCTGTAGTAATTCTGCAGGAGAGTCTAATCTGAATTCTAATTACCAGTGAGGATTCTGACGATAAGCTTTCCAAAGACAAAAATGATTCTGCCGGTAAGTATGACAACTAGCGATCTAGTTTGCTAACAAACCTGTTGGCACAGTTTAATAAATCTGGCTATATTACAGAGGATTTTGGCAGCGAGGAGGAAGATAACGACTTTGGAGAGGAAGAGGAGGATGAGGATGGAGGAAGTGACTATGAAGAAAAAAAAGGGAAAAAGGGGAAGAAACCAAAACCGGAGAAAGTCAGCAAGAGGACCCCTAAGAGGAAACGAGCCGCCGCAGGTAATCTACTTTTTGCACTATAATTGCCGAATTATGTACCATACACATAATGTCAGAAACATAGCTTTCTTCTGCATGATAAATATTGGTACCTGTTATCTCTAAAAAGGTTAACATGTTCTAAGTGTATGTAAATGAATACGATCTTTGTGACCATCATTATCATGGACTTTGCTTGTTCTTCATGTGGATGTTCTTCAGCTACTACAGTTTCAACCATCAAAAACATGCACAATAGTTCTTTAGCTAGGGTTGCTCAGGACACCCTAACTGAAGATCTGTGATCTTTTTTATAAAGGATTGTGTAAGAATTTTGCAAATTCACATTCCTAGTGGCCATGGTATCAGCGTACACCATATACAATTCTGTCTTATAAACTTAAATGTTTGTTGTGTAACTTGTCTGTAGGAGTGTCAGTCAAATACTTTTCTCCATGGAGATGGTATTTTTGTCTGAAATAATTCACAGTATGGTACGTTTGTACCTTTATGTGGACCAGACCAAGTTACAGGTCAGATCTGTGGACAGGCAACCCTGCTCATTGTCAAAATGCCTGTTTTTCTAGTATTAAAACCATTCCGGAGAAACGATGGCATCCATAGAAACAAGCCAGTGACCCCCAGAGAAAAAGTGTGCTGCATCTTTAAAGTTTCATCTATTAAGTTGGGGCAGCTAGAATGAGGCCAGATATTGGTATTGCGAGGTTTTATGTAGCTGTTAATGTTATGTGTGATCTGTGTGTACTCAGATGACAGTGACGATGACCGGGATGTGAGTCGAAAGCGTACAGTGCGCCAGGCCGCCTCCAAGGCAGTGTCAAAACAGAGGGAGATCCTCCTGGGAGATGGCGGCAGTGAGGACGAGGAGCATGAAGAACAAGAGGAATCTTATCTGGACCGTGAGTACCAGCATAAAGAGAATGACCCACTGTCTACAGTTTATTGTTAAACTCACAAGTGCTTTGTGATGCAGAGGATGAGTCGGGCAGTGATGAAGACTTTATGGTGGAGGATGATGATGACAGCGACTATGGTCACTCAAAAAAGAAGGGCAAGAAGGTCATTCGACAGGGACGGACAAACAGAAAGGAAAAGAAATCCCCCAAACCCAGGCTAAAGGCAACAGGTAAGGATTTTCACCACTGAGAACCAGAAACCAGATGGAATATGCAGTTTGAATTGAGCCCATTCTGTTATTTTCACCAATACTCATTTATGAATTTAAATCGAATAACAAGCCTAAAAACTGTACTTACCTAGTGATCTTTTAGGCTGCAGCACATATCATTGTCATGAGCTTGATTCCCAACTTCAGCAATTTATCCCCACTCTTCATCCCCACTCTTCATCCCCACTCTTCATCCCCACTCTTCATCCCCATTTCTCACACAATCTGCCCTCAGTGGTATATTGATGCCACCCAGAAAAGATAGGCGTCCACTGTAACCAGTTATTTCACATAGTCACATTTGGGAAAACAATGTCTGGACACATAAACTGTTTTCCATAAGCTTCTTATTTTATCAGATTATGGATATTGAATGTAGTTTTTAATGTAGTTACCTTGACATGACTCAATGTAAACATGATTTTTTATTTTATTTTTTTCCCCCCACACAGTGACCCCGAGTCCAGCTAAAGGCAAGGGAAAGGGTCGTCCAAGCACCAAGGCTCTAGAGAAGAGCTCGCCCAAAGAGGAGGAAGAGGAGGAGCCTGAAAGCCCAGTGGAGGAGGAGGAGGAAGAAGCAGAGAAGAAGGAAAGCTCCCCTGCTCCCAAGAAGACGAAGGAGACCACTGGAGGAGAGGAGGAGGAGGAAGAGGAAGGGGAGGGAGAGGAGGAGGAGGATGGCTCAGAGGAGGAGGCACCCTCTGGAGAAGACTAGAACATGCGTCTTCTCCACTTTCTCTTCTGTTGCTCTGCATTTAGAGTTTTATTTTGTTTTTGTTTGTTTTGTTTTTTTTTCTTCTGCTGGTGGCCTGGCGCAATGGTTTGGACTTCTTACTTTTTTGTTTGTCAGCTTGTTGTCAGTGCACCACAGTTGCCCAGCCAGGGATCATTCAGGATCCTTCAGAAACGTGCTCATACCCTGAGGTGAGGAGACACTACATTTAAATTTTTCCCCCAAGTCTAATAAGTGAGCATCCGTCCTGTTATTTCATCTAATCAAGTTTTTACTTGTTAAACTGGTTATTTGTGATTAGCGAAGCCCACAGCACTGCATGCTATTTTTCTATTTCTGTTTTTAACTTAACATCACGTTTTAACAGAAAAACTTATCTTTCAAACTATTTGAGTTTGTGTTTTTGCCCTCCTTTTAAATAATCATCATGTGTGTTCTTGTTCCATGGGTGTACCACATACGAAATGTTTCAAGATGTATTCTATTGGGAAGGTGTGTTCATACTTAAACAACTAACCTTCACTCGTTTATGTGCTTCTTTAAAACTTATGTAGCTGCTCTTTGTAAAACGGTTCAAGTTTTGGCCTTTTGAACTAACGTAAGCTTATACTGGGCTTTTAAACGATGTATCAGGCTACTGTAATCACCCTTCATCTCATGTGGCATCTTAGCAATCAACTCGTTGTGCCAGGTGACCCTTTTTTTTCTTTTTTTTTTTTTTCCTTTCTTTTTTTTTTCTTTTTACCTATTTTGGTAAGTGCAAGTAAGAGATGTGACTTTCTTTTATTTTATTTTTTGTTTTTTTTAGTCCAAAATGATTGTCATTTTCTCCTGTTCATTGTTCTAATTCTCTATTCAGATTTTTTTTGTAATGTTTGTTTTTTAAGAAAAGAAATAAAATGTATCTTGATTTTAAAGAAAAAGAAGACCCTATCCAATCTTTTCCAATGACCTTTGCGTGGAGGGGACTGGGCCCCTCTACTTTCCTCTCTCTGTACAATACTATTCTCTTGCCCATGTCCAGTAATTCCATTTAGGCATAGTTCACACAATTCAATAGTAGAGTAGGGTTTGACGGCCATCTTCTTTCAACCCAAAAGCCAGCTATAGGCATTTTTCTAATCATGACTTGAATAATTTTGCTTTTGTAGTGGCTCTGCTATTGTGTGTGGAGGCCTAAAGAATGTCACATGTCCTGTTTCTGGTCATAATTAACCTAAACAAATCACTTTAAAACTCCTGAAGCCATAAAAGGATCTCAAAACTAGTGATTTGGAGACCAGGTCTCTATGTGATGTCTGATGTCAAAGCAAAAAAACATACTTGGATATTGTGATCTTGGGCAAAGTAATTTGAAAGAATGTTCATAGCCTCTGCAGTCCCAAGATTCAATACTGTAGATGCAACTGACTGGGTCATGTACAGAACAAACATGAGGCAACTCCTTGGTTCACAAGCACATTTGATTGTTTTCTGCCTCTTGTTGGTACCAGCCAATTTAGTATCAAAATTTTATGGTCTGGAAATTCACAACCAAGTACTTATATTTTTGTCTTCAGTGACTGGATAGAGATGAGCATTGGTGACTTCATTCACTGAAAGGATCTCCACTCATCCATTTTGATTTTTGCTTTGTTTTCTATGTACCTTCATTGTACTGGCATTGTATTTGTAAGCCTTGTGATTCCTGCAGGAGACACAGCCGAGTTCTCTGTAATTCATTTGAATAAGGAACTCTTGAATACACTTGCATGTCGTGGAAATGGTGCGAAGCAATGATGATTATGATGCTGGTAATGGCAATATTGTGGTCTTTCAAAACCGTATTGATGATGTTGATAATGTTTTTGGTTTCCCAGCTTCTAATAAAGGCAACCTACTTTTTATACAGATAAGTTTGTTTTATCCATTGACCACTACAAGAAATGCACAATTTAAATTTGGGTGTTGTGGTATCTAGTCAGTTATTGTACTACTTGTACGTGTCTTTAGGTCATTTAATTGGAAAAGAACTAATACACCAAGGTCAACAACATTTTTCAGTTTGATGCTGCCAGTGAAGTCGTTTAAGGCATTGCACATAGGTGGGCCAATAACGCCTCCAGGTCCGTAAATCAAATATTTGCGCTGTAAATAGCTTAATACATACATAATTAAATTAAATTGGTATGAGAAGAGAGGGGTTTATAAGCCTACTGTTTAGAAATGGATAGCACTTATATGATGGAAAACACAGAGACATCCCATTGAAAAACTACCCTAACACCCTAATTTTTAAACTGACTCCTGGTCAGAGCAGAGTGATTATTTGTAGTATAAAAGATACAATATATAAAAGATAGTTGTGAGTTTCAGCAAAAAAATATTTCAGAGATGCTATTGACATAGAAGTTTTTACAGTAACAGAATTTAAATAATTTGTCCAGAATTCATGTTTTGTGTAATAGGAAATGCCACTGGCAATAAAGTAGCAAATATCTCATGAGGAAAGCGATAGGTCTACATGGAAAATCAAGACACTATGCAGCTACAAATCTGCATTGGTTACTGATGATTTGTAAGACTATTGAGACTGGGATTCAGAAGAGGAAGGATCATTAAAAATATTTTTGAAATCCCAGAAGCAAGGTAGGTTAGGATTAATAACAGGAGCTGTAGTCTAGCAGTGCATATTGCTGTTGTATTCATGGGCAAGACAATTTGTCATGTTTGATGGTGTGTAACTAAGTTCAAGGGGTCTATGGTGCAGATTGGCTGATCCAATATGGACTGAATTACAGTCTGATGCAATCTGATTTTTTGTATGTGTGAACTAGGTTGCGATCAAAAGTGAAAGTGTAATATCAGTATCTAGGATTATATTTGTTGAGAAAGATGTAAACTTGATCAACATCCTTTCAGTTTTAGGTGTTGTAAGCTACAGTGTTGCTGTATTCAGCCTCTGAAAATGTGAATACCTTTAAGAATTGGACACACACCCATTAGACAAACATTTAGACAAACTTTTTAAAGATGTACTATGTAACTTTTCTGATGGATTTCCAACTACCCGTTTGCCTCTATTATTTACTGCCTAGAAAGTTCCACAAGCAGGTGATGATACCAGTATGTGGAGTTACATGTTAAATCTGTGAGGAGGCGAGCCTACTCACAGTATGTTTTCAGGCCAAACACCTGTAATTTAATTAATGTACTATAGATAAAATTAAGACATACTTCAGAACAGTTCAGGCAAAGCAATAAAATCTCTATGGACACATGCAAGTGGCAGATCAACAAAGTTCCATAGTGCGCCTTTCAAATCAAACTACAGAATTTCAGAGAGACATTTTATTCATAATTTCAGTTTGCAAGAGTACTTTGTGTACTCCCACAAATTTAAGGAATTAACCTCATATTTTATCTCAAAAACAGATTATTTGTCCTGAGTTGTATGCTGGAGGGAGGCTACATCCTGCTGTGTACTGTTGCTATGAGACCTGCATGAGCTCCCACATCTGCCATGTGCATGTAGCAATAGGTCTTTGCTGCAGCCTGCCTTGTGTTCATCTATAGAGATGCAGGTGGAAATCATCAGTAGATGAACCTATTAAAGGACTATGCAATTCTCATCACTCAAAGGCAATAATAGCTTTAAGTCCCTGAGATGTTCTGAGCCTGTGAGCGAGCCAACAACAGTCGGTATGCCATTGAGTTGATTGGCCAATCCTTGGCCAATATTCGATTCAGTAGTGGAGGATACATTAACTGGGATCGGAGCTGATACTAGATACCAGCTCCCAGATGGGAAAATATAATGGACAAATTATTTGCTGCAAAGAGCGCACAGTTTCCCTACTGAAACACCAGAGGGCAGCAAATGATCTCCAAGAGGCAAGTTGTCGGCGCAAGACTAATGTATATCAATGCAGATATATAATCTGATACCAATCTGGTACTGGAATTTTTAATTGTAAAAGTCCATTGAGATGTAGCCATCCATGGATGTAGTACTAGCATTTACCAAGGGCAGGGCATTCTACAGTTTGGGGGAATCTTGTTAATCTCTTTTCAGATGTTGTTTATGAAGATCTGGCCAGATAAGTTTTTTTTTTTTTTTTTTTTTTTTTTTTTTTTTTTTTTGTTTGTTTTTTTTTTTGCTATTTTTTTCTCAGATTTTGCAGCTTGAATATAAGAAATGCGCATGCATTAGGCCTAGATGTTTTGCTCGATCTTATGTCTTTATCTATTACTGTGATTAATTAATAATTAATTGCAACTGAAAGTTTCATTTAAAAAGTAACATTCAGAAACACTATACAAATTCATCTAAATATTTTAATATTTCGGTAGAAGTTTGTTCAGCATCATGGTGAGAGGACATAAACATTACATGAAAAGGGAATTTGGGGGGACAAGTGAATTTTTTCCAGATAAAAGTTCAAATCTTAAAATCATCAGTGCGTTTAAAAAGGGGAAGTTAGAGCTACAAGGACACATTTTCATGTCTAAGCTTGTAGAAGTCAGCCTATGTGTAAGCAAGTTGGCTGTCACATTCTCATGGGGTTGGTTCTCACATATGACATAATAGTCGAGAAAACACAGGATAAGTTGGTTGTTACTCTTTTACATATAGCTGACTACATTGAACTGTCTCAAAAACACTGCATCTTAAATCGGTTTAAAGTTTCTTAAAAATATAAGGAACCTACTTCCCTGTATCTTTCTCACTAAATAGACCTAGGCCTATATAGCCTATTGTTTAACAGATGTTAATGGCATGTTTCCATTTGTGTTTTTAAATTCCCCCAATTTAGGAAATGTGTTTAATTGTTAAATACCATGACACACAAGGCAGCTCATACACTAGCCAGGTCCACGTGTTCTATGCAGTAGACTCTCAGAAACATAGTTTCCATGTCACTTGGCCCATCAATATGAAGAAGGACACGAACTGTAAAGTGTACAGGTTCTAGTGCCTATTCAGTCACTTCAGACTGGCTACTTTGACTTGGCGCATTTGAATCTGGGTTATTATAAGTCTGGCTGTGCTTTATAGAATCATCTGGTTCTACTGTATATTTCGTTTGTTATTTTTGTAGGCCTATATTGGGTCTGCGGTTTAAAATTCTTCTTGTATCAATAGGCTACTGTGTCTTTTTGAGTGAGGCTCAGGCTACACTTCATCAACACATGGCAGTCAGAATTTATCGAGCAGGGACCAATCGCAGCGCTTCTTTTAGGGCGAGCCTCCGCAACGAGCAGCCAATCAGAGCCACAGAATTGGACCCGTGCCTCCGAGTTGTGCAGCGATGCAATCACGTGACGCTGGGAAAAGGAATGCCAACATGGACCCGTGGCAAGGACGGGATGTGAGTGTGCTACGACAATAATACGACGGAGAAAAGCCCCCAAAACAGCGTCTTTCGAACTCCAGTCGACGTCGCAGCGTGCATATTCATCGAGGAGTTTGTCTCACGCAAGGTAGGTCGAGTTTATTGTGGATCGTAGTCGCGCACTTGGTGCAGAGCAGTTTTGTCCGGGCCGAACTCGAGAGCGGAGCATTCCAGTGCAGAGGGTGCCATTTTAGCGTGGGCCCAAGTCTATAGAACACCGTGGTGACTCTTAGCGCACGAAGCATAACCTATATTTGAGTCTGAGTGAGTGTGTGTGTGCGTGCGTGCGTGCAGGGGCGCGTCAGTGCGGCCCATGTTTACCCACTAGAGCTGTGGAGAGAGGCCCTGCTGCAACATGTGCTTAGTCGAGGTGTGACAGCAAATAGCCTAATGATGTGAGAATGGAGACCAAGACGCAGTACGCACGAGCTCACTGTCCACGTCGGTGAAAATAGAGCTCCAGTGATCGGCCATGCGTCTCCAGCACGAGCACTTTACGCTAACACACTGCCCCAGTTCATAAACACGTTACGTAACGAGTGTTTGGAAGG